TCGGATGTATGTAGTCAATTTTTGATGGCAAGCCTGTGGCCAATAGTCAGGTTCAACGCTGCGACTCAACGAATGATGGAACTAATGATGCAACGAATGATGGGACGTCTCGTGGAGGTTCTACTTGTCTTCGGAACAGTTTCTCAGCGGTAAATAATAGGGACTGAGGAACTAGAAATGTCTCCTGGGCCTGGTTTTGGCCAGATCAGCAACCGATTATAGATAAAAAAAACTCCACGGTAAAAACAAACGTCAGGTTCGATCAAACGCACAGCCTCGAAAGGAATTATGAGGGCTACTGTAGTTAATAACTGTAACATACAAGCTTCAGGAAAAGTCATGTGAAAAGAGGGAAATTAAAGCATTACTGAAAATTTCATTGAAGCTCGCAGAAGTCATAGCTTAATTGGACTTCTAGGCATTTTACGCTTCTGTAACAAGTCTTTTGGTGGCTCTCAATTAAGTGGTCTAGATGCAAAGTAATTAATTGAAAGCTTTCTATGCCAACCAATGCATGAATCTGTATTATGTCCAGGGAAGTTGAGAAAATTTCCAACCTGGGAATGGAACATACTGAGTTCTTAAGGTGATACGATTCAGCGTCCACAAATCATAGGCACTTTCACTGCCACTTCTAGTTTTCTAGAGAGTTAATCTCGGGCACTATTGCGATTTGAGGCACTCAATTGTCATCACAGTTTTGTTATTGTATGTTTCCCGATAGCAGATAATGGACTCCTGGAAAAAGCGAAGGGAAATCAGAGCCCGAGGTTCTGGATCGTATCACCTTAAAACAATTTCTATGTTCTGCCTCCCCCTTTTCATTAGTCAGCCAAAGATCCCTTCAGATCGATCGTGTTTGTCATAGTGGTCTTTGGTTTTTTGGTTCATGATTCCGTTAAAATAAATATAGGACTTTGAACAGTTATCTGAAGTCTATGACTTGGAAAATTGGTAACTACACTACACACACACAATACTGATTTCTAGTTGTCAAACTTTGTAAACATATCAAACAGAAATGAATAACTAGTGTATTCCTGAATTATAAGTGGAGATGGGTTGCATTCACTAGCCCGAGAATACCCTCCAGATGCTAGCCTCTTCACCAACCATACATCAGTACACACTTATCCAGTCAGTAATTTTTACTGAGTTTTTGAATTGCTAAACTGTACTTGTTTACGTAAATCGATAAGAGTACCCCATGGATCGCTGTAGAACAGTTAGGATTTCTCTCATTTCTTACTCTCTTGCATCCACCCGATCGTACGCGATCCACACAATAGCTAGGTTCGATAATAAATAGCAGCAATAAATCAGTATAAATCTTACCACACAACAAACAAGTCTGGTGTGTCGTTTGTACAGACCTTTTCCAGTGGTCAAGTGAAGGTCGGTGACCTCAAGTGCATAGTGCGGTCTGGACGGAAAATTAACCTACAGTCCACTCAAAACTCCGATTCAGATTTTTTTTTATCTTTAAGAGATTTTTAGCCATAGGCTAGTTCATCTCTTGAGCTATCCAGAACAGTAGTCTTGCAACTTTTTTGAAGATCGATATTTTTCGAGAAAAATTTTCTCGTTCCAGAATAATGATAATTATTGATACGATCCAGAACACTTGTCTAGGTTCTAGAGATATGAAATTTGTCTATGTTTGAAGTTTTACAGAAATTTCTATATTCAAGACCTTTAAAAATTCGCGATCTGAATCTAAATCAAACTTATTCAACGGTTCGTTTCCAAAAAAAATGGTTTCAGAAAATTGATTACTGTTTAAGGAAATGGAGGCTATAAATTAACCTATTGATTATTCAATTAATACTGATTTTACGAAAACAAATTTATAAGATCCTTCAACCATTTGTTTTATTTAAAAAAAGTTTGTGAAATGCTCATGGTGGTTTGGGAATTTATAATATGTGTCAAAGCGGATCGCATTCAACGACAGATTCGATTCATACCTTTAATATCTTTCCGATCAATAGATGTCACTATTGGTCACTTTTTTATTGTTTAAAGTCACTATTTTATCACTTTTTTCGTTATTGTAGTCAATACTATAGTATAACCACCAGTGCGCAAAACAGTCAGGTTCATTGAGTCATTTTGATATGAATATGAGTTGCCTCGTAAGAGTCTGAATGATTGAGAGGTAAACGAGTCACTGACAGCCGAGCACTCAGTCAGTAGCTCAGTCAACACGTTTATTCTGCCGTGATGGTACCCAATATTTGATTTGAATGACTGAGCGTACATTTTCTATGGAAAAATGACTCAATTACATGCTGTGTGAGCGAAGGCAAGCGGTGTGCGTCGCCTACTCGTAAATGACTGAATGTTTTTGTTGGCTCTTTCATTGCCTCGTCCTTTACCGTTTGGTACAAACAGTCTGCACAGAGTAATTGATTGAATAGTGCAGTGCTTTCACACTCAGCCTAGGCCAGCCGAGCGTAGGCAACATGTTATACCGTGACAGCGGGCCCAGCACAGCAAAATAAACGATTTGAGCCCGGGACATGCTGCCTACTGTCAAACGCTGCTGTCGGTATAGGTCTTGTCAGTGGCGTGGCCTAGGCAGTAAATAATTTTACGCTCTAACCACTACCAGCCCTGCATATTGTAGAGGAATCCTGCTGACAAAATTTTATCATTATCTTTAAAGGGTTATTTTTGAACGCCTTTTTTGTTTAAGGTGGAGTTTTTTTTTGGAATAACTGGGAAAAACTGGGAATTGAAAAATGGAATTTGAATGGACATCTTGTAAGTCTTTTGTCGCTGGTGAAGAGAGGTGTTTGACTCTGGTAAGGAATCATTTTCTTCACCGGTGGTGGAGAAACGTTTACAGTCAGTTCAGGATAGTTGAAACGAACATGTTTGTCCTCACGCCACTGAGGCGGGTCAAGCTTCCTCCTGGATCTTGATCTTGTAGATACATTTGTTTTTTCTTCTTTCCTTTCTAGAAGCAGCAGGCTTGATGGAAGATATATTTTTTGCCGACGACGGTTCGTTCTGGAGGTAACAGGTATCGTGCGGGACCGACAACCTCATACGTAAAATAGGTTTTTGTATAGAATGTACGAATTTTGATTAATTTGTTAGTTGTTCGGATTTCGGTCCCCCACGTTTACTCTGATGTTATATCTTCAGCTTCCTATTGAGGCTTCAAATTTTTCGGACGATCTATTAGTTTTTAATTATACTATTAACTATTGTTTAAACTGCCGTTCTACGCATATCTGTCCCATGTTACTTTTGGACGTTTTTAACTTTTATGTATGTATGTATGTATGTATGTAAGGTAGCGGCGCCGGTGGTGCAGTGGTAAGCGTGATTACCTCTCACCCCAGCAGGCCTGGTTTCAAACAGGGAAGTAAAGCCGTTGGTCCCCGGTTCATGAGTTGATGGGTCGATAGGTAGGGTCCAGGTGTGGGAGCTGCCTTCCTGGCGTCGGTAGCATAAGTGCTCAGCACGGAAAACAAACCAAGGAAAAAAAATGTATGTAAGGTAGCCACCATCCCTTCAAAGATCTTGTATTGTAAGATTAATTTGAGCTACCGATCTGAATTCACAATACCGCTGTATGAAGGACCAAAACCGGAGGCGCGGACCGGTAAGCAGAGATACTTACACGAAATCTATGGGAATTTAAGAATCTCCTTCCAACGATACGATCCAGCAAATCGAATAACACTATTCGCAATACTTATTAAGCTTCCTACAGGGTGGTTTGCAAAGAAAGGCGCATCAATCTCACTGAAACTGTTGAAGTATAATGTTATTTACATAATCAAAATATTTTCATAATATCTTATTATTCCATAATTTCTTAAAACATTTTTTTAGTCAAAATGAATGGAAGGCACTTAATTTTAATTTCGATGAGTAATGCAATACAGCACTGCAATGCTCAATTCTGTTTGTCATAATATAGTATGAAAACATAAGATTCTTACGAAACTGGATTGAGATCATATTTTCATACGTTCATACGTATACGCAGCTTTTGTAAATTTTAGGGACAGTTTTCTCAGTGCGCATTATGTCACAAAATCAGCTGTGTTTTTCTTCGTTTTTGTGTTATAGAGGAAATGGCGTATCTCAAGTTTTGAGTTTTCACTCAATACTCCTATGCGACTAGACTACCATGCGTCTCCATCGATTTATAGCGACTGTAACACTGGCAATTCCTTATTTTAAACAGGTTTTCACATGTTTCATTAGCACAAGCTCATAGCTATACTCATTGCACGTCTCTTTATTTTAGACTTGCAAACAAATAGAAACACTGGAATAAGAGACCAGCGGAGAAAAAAACATGAATTTTGCAACAAGATAAACATTAAAGCAATCCTGGCACCACTTGCATTTGTAACTGCTTGCTTCGCCAATGCACCGACCAACGAGTTCATGAGTGATTGTTAAACGATTTTAATACTCCTCCCTAATTGAAGCAAACCATTTGTAAACATTGCAGATTGGAACCGCTTTTGACAGTTCGATTGGAATCATAACAGTGTCTCCGCTGGTCTCTTATTCCTGCGTTTCTACAAACGAACAGGTGTATGTGTTTACTTGTTTGCGCTTTGTGCTGTTCCCTATCCCTGGTCATGGGGGGTAAGTTCATCTACTTGATTTTTTTATATTTTTGTTGGTCAACATCAACAGGCTCAATGTAGCCCCAAAGCTGGTTTGAAAAAGCAAACCATCATTTTGCATGCGTATAACGTGTTGATCAACATTTAAAGACAAATAAATGAATAAATATACTAGTGACCCATCATGCTTAGTGACACGTCTTGCCCCACCTTACTCTATAAATGCTCTTAATATAGATAGGTAAGGAGGAACATTTCATAAAATAAAGTATGGAGAAATCAATCACCATTTTTATGATTATAATTACCATCCCATATTTTTTTTTTGATTTCTTATTTTAAGTTTTCCTATGTTCCTATTAATTTACAGAATAAATGAGATTTTTTTATCATATTCAGGGATTTACCATTTGGGGATATTCACCATCACAGCCAATCTATTATAATACCTACACCGGCATCACTGAGGACAACAATAATGATTCTGGCAATGGAACACAATAGGTAATGTAACACATATGCTGCAGTATTTCATTCATTATAGTTACATATTTTTGTAATTTTTTTTTTAGTAGTTATTCTTCTTTAACGCTAGTCTTTATTATTTGAAGTAAAATTAATTATAGACCTATATATGTAAAATTGCCCATACATTTTTGTTTTTTATTACATATTTTAGATGTTTTTGTTTTCAATTTATGCATAACGAATTGTTTATTGATGTAAAATATTCATTAGTTTTTTTATTATATAAATGTTATCAAGAAAAATAAATAAATTGAATTTATCAAATCCGTTGTAGAAGACCTGTCAAATATGTCACAGACTAAATTAAATTCAATGCCAAGTGGCCCTTGAGTTGTAGGCAGCCGACAAATAGTGGACAAAGCACGTGTATCTGCCAAAAGATACACGATACATGTGGGAGTTTAAGGCAACTCTCTATGAGATATTCTCATTAAATTTGGTTTCCTAAATCCTTGTAAGAAATATACTTTCAGCAGATGTCATGGGAAATATATGTTTTTAAATGGAGTTGCACCTAAATGTGGGCATTTTTCACTGGTAATTTCACAGAAAATCATGAATTTCTAACATTGGAAGTTTTGTATCATATTAAAAAAAAAAATAGATTCCCTGCGCTTTGGTCAGATCGCGTATAGGGCGTCGTTGTGCCAATGTGGTTTGCTCAAAAGTGCCTTAGTAAAATGCAAGTATTTTCGATCATTATCCGTAGTTGTTACAGTGAAGATATACACCCATATTCTCGTTTGTGGCTAGACGTGTTTGTCATACAGAAACATTTTTATTTGATTTTGTGTGGTGGATGGGTTTCGGGCGTGGACGGACATATGGGTGATAATATTAAGTTTACGTTAGGATAACTTTGAAAAATTGAGAAATGTTTCGCTTCAGTTTGAGAAGCACTTCACTTCGCAACCGATGAACCATTCATTACCCACATTACCGTGCAGGCGCCGTGTGTTGGCAGGGTCCAATATTGGACAGTTTGATGTTTATAAAGTACCATCAGTTAAAACTGTATTTTGAGCTTTATCTCTATACATTCTTAGGTGTTTCTTAGAAGATTATCATGTTGGTGTACGCTAATTCAAAAAGGAAATGGCATTAAAATTGAGCTGTCCATAGTTGAGCATTGTTGAACATGTGGTACTTGCACAACATTTCATGTGAGTACCAAAGTAACCATATACTCACAACATAACTTTTAATGTAGGTTCAGAGTGAGAAAATGTCACTGAGATATGGTTAGTTGGGTATTCAGATGACTATTACTTTAAAAAAACTAATCCTACTTGTATCTCTTTTTCGTTGGCATGTAACACTGTTTGATATTACTAACCGCACCGAGCCTTCATTCCGGGTGATGAGCGAACCTGAAGAAGGAGAAGATGACCATGAACCATGTTCATCGAAATTTGACAATAATTATATCAATCAACTCGTATATACATTGAAATACATATTAAAAGGGAAGGGACGGTCCAATAATACAATAAATGGGTTAATAAACAGAATCAAAATGGAGGTTTCTCATATTGGCCCTCTGCACCTCTGGAGGTTTTCCACTTTTCAGGATACTTGAGTGAGTGAGCACGTGAAGAGGGGCGTAACCCGCAGGAGCGGGAATGAAAGCCGACATAGCTCATGCAGCACAACAAGTCAGCGTGCTGTTTTTGTTCTTCAACAAATACTCTATCGCTCTTCTCTATTCTTTTATTTTCTTATTATCCCCTTAAAATCTGAAGCTAGTAGCTAGCCTACGGGAGCAACAGGCCTGCTGGTGGAAGAAAGTCGTTATGCTAAACGGTCTAGCATAGGCCACGACCAAAATTTCCGTAGGCTCATACCTAGTTTAAGTACAGATGGGCGGGTGATAGTCGGCCAGGGTGTGAACTGAGCAATAACAATAACAATATTTAAAAAAAAATAGATTGATCGACCCTACGTTCAATGAAAAATCAAATGATATGTTAGAATTGTTGCATATTGCATTGAGCATATTTTTTGATATTCAAGACCTACTATATTAAATCAGTGGCGTCGCGTAACCTCAATTTTTACGTTATTTAGGGTCATGCTTACAATCGAATCAGTTTGGATAGCAGTAGGCCGAACTTGAAAGCTGATGTGTTTATTTTGCTGCGTATTCTTCGTCAGTGATGCCCAGGGCTGAAAGTCTCCTTAATAAAGATATAAAAAAAAAAAAAAAAAAATTCGTCAGCAAATTAAACATTTTTTGCTTTAAATTTGTTAATTTGTGTGCTGAAATTTAGTTTAGTGTTCATGAAGTGATATATCGTGTTTTGCCTGTGGTTGCCTTGAGTGACTTGGTTGACCATGAATCGAACCTCCAAACGACGCAGCTTCAGTTTCATTGTTCGTTGCCTTTTTTCATTGCCTCCCGGGAGCCCGGTTCTCCGAGTTTGGATGCCATATTTTCGACGTGTAGTTTTGTTCTATTGAGAGATTCGTCACCGCGGGCTAGTTTGAACACGGTCCGGCTGGTGAATTAGCACAGGAACGTGCTGATAATGTGTCCGTCGCGAGTTTTGGTGGTGATTCGGTGGCCGACGTTGCCGTGAATCAGCAAGTTTTCCGCTGTCGGTGTCGGAGATTGTGAGCAATATGAAAGACGCCTCGCTGGATACGCCCAAGACTGGACTGGTGATAGCTGGTGGCTGCGAAAGGTTCCTGGGGAAAGCACGAGATGCGGACCTCCTCCCAGATGACCATGGCAATGCAAGATGTGTTCGTTGAAGGAAGTATTAGGGTAGAGAACTACTTCGGCCTAAGCGCCCATTTAGGGCCTATCAAGCAGAAAACATCAAATAAATCCATGATTTCGGCGTTAACAGGTAAACTCTGCTTTTGGTACGATATTTTAGTTCAAATGCTACCGAACGAAGTCAATAAGAACGCGTGATATGAATGTTTGCACCCAATATTCTCAAAAACAAATGAAGCGCTCCGACCGAATCAATTTTTAACTTCATCCGATAGGCCGAAGTGAATTCATTGGCATTTCAATGGCGTTTCAATGCATTAGGCCGAGTTTATAATCCGTAGGCCAAGTTTGGCTTCAAGAATGACTGTAAGACTTTTAACAATATCTCAACAATTTGTTTCCCTTTATCAAATCTTACGGTAGTTAACCCTACAACAAAGGTGAATCACGAAATGAGATGCAAAGCTGCAAACTACGGATCCCATGGATTCCACGATCAAATTATCATGGTCCCAAATACTTTTTACAATAAAAAAAAAAACAAACTAAATACGTGCCAGGATTCAAAAGAACATTTTGAAACTGGAAGTACTATAAGAAAACGAACCTCCATCAATCGGTTTCAATTCGTTATATATTTTAATTCGGTATATGTGTAATACTAATATCCAATTGATAGAGGTAATACATACAGTATATAAAAAAAAGTTTATCCATCTCCTACCAATTTACAATTTTTTTTTTGTTTTTCTGGTGAAAATCAGTTTAATATAATGAGTGTTCCTCCATGATTTATCAATTTATGTTTATTTATCACATTGCCATTGAAAATACGGCGTTTATATCTTTTCTTGAGATTTCTTGTGATGAATTATGGAAAAGGGTAAAAAATTACGCAAAAAAAGTTTATCCACTCCCAAACGGATACTGCGATTTAAGTGTGTTTTAAAGAGTTTTAGCATAGAGGTAACTCTAAGACTAGAAGGTCCCGAAGAAACGTGCTCAACTTTTTGGCTTAGCTCTGGTACACTCTTGGGTCCCAAGCTAATCGATGCACCCCTCGAAACATAGGAAAAATCCACAAACCCCTCATTTTATCTGTCAAACTTTCATAGCGAATCAAAACAAACATAGTGTAGTACTAGAATTTCGACAAGAATAGGGTACGTTAATCGATTTGCTTGGGACCAATAGGTTAGTCAAGCATTGAGCCAATTTAAAATCGTTAGTTTCCACCGGTTGGTTTTAGTGTGTATTCTGCAACTTTCTCGAATGTAAACATTGTGTCTAGCTGTCATTTAGTGCTCTTGAAGTATTGTGCAGATGTACAAAAAGCGTAGTTCTATCTCACCAGCTAAGCGATCGGGGCGTCCTTCAAAGACAACTGGCCGAATTGACAGAGCTATCGTGAAGAAGGCGGAGCTGGACCGGGGACTATCAGTTCCGAAAATTGCGAAACAGATTGAAAGCGAGTTTTCCATTCAACTGACATCACAAACCGTACGAAATCGTCTTCATAAGAAAGGTCTTAAGGGCAGATGGAGATAACCCAAATAAATCTCAATCATTGTGACACAGCACAGCAACTGTTGTGGCAGTCGACAACGGAAAAAAAGTGCGACGTTGCAATGATTGCGGAGCCGTATCGAGTCCCTCCCGATAACGATAACTGGGTGGCCGATAGAGCAGGGATGGCGGCAATACAAATTATGGGCAGGTATCCCATACAAGAAGTGGTGACGAGGTCTTACGAAGGTTTTGTGATCGCCAAAATTAATCGAACCTTGGTATGTAGTTGCTATGCACCCCCGAGATGTACAATGGAGCAGTTTCACCAGATGCTAGATGGACTCACCGGGGAGCTCACCGGACGGAGACCAATCGTCATTGGAGGAGATTTCAATGCTGATTGATTGCTGTGTAAATTTGATCAAAGTAGGCCTTGATTTTCCTCCGAAATGTTATGGAATACAGTAAAATGGTGATTTCTGAAATATTAGCTGGTCATTGGCTCCAAATGGTCACCAGATGACCCACCGAAAGATCTGGAACATCCATAAAATGGGTTGCAAAGTAAATTTCATCAAAGTATGCCTTGATTTTTCATTGCAACTGTATATAATGTAGTAAAATTATGATTTTTTTTATATATTAGCTGTTCACTGGCTCCAAGTGGCTCGCCGAAAGATCCGGAACATCCGTAAAATGTATTGCTGCGTAAATTTGATTAAAGTAGGCCTGGATTTTGCTCTGTAACTACGTGAAATGTAGTAAAATGGTGATTTTTGTTATATTAGCTGTTCAATTGTTCCGAGTGGTCACGACATAACCCGCTGGAAGATCCGGAAAATCTGATAAATTTATTGCTGTGTAAATTTGATCAAAGTAGG